GAATGAACTGAGGCCATCGTGGTCTCAATGTCCTCCTCTTCGTCGAAAGATGGCATGGGACGCAACGGGGATGGTGGCTCATGAGTTTCATCCGTGTAGCCCCGCTCCTGTTCGTCCGCCATGCGTTGCATGGCCTCCGCCATATCCCTCATCAACTGAGGGTTCATCCTTACATCCTGGGGGATGATTTGCTCGAACTCCCGGGTGGCACTGCCACTGGCGTGTCCTTGCCTGGACCACCCCTCAGAGGATCTATGGCCTCCTCGTCCTCTGGATGCAGAACTCGGTGTAGCGGTATGAAGCCTAGCCATTTCAGAAAATGATGCTTAGATCAGCTGTTTTCCTTGAACTTTTAGTTTCGATTCCCACAGACGGCGCCAATGTTGAAGTTTATTCCCGAAGATCCGAAAGCCCAACACAAGCCTCGGATATTGTAGGTATATAGGGTTGGATTAAAATGTGTATAAAATATAAAACAGTGAGATATTTGCTCAACTCAGAAGCTTACCGATATTCAATAAATATGTGATTACACTGAGACTACCCGAACGGTAGATGAATATGAGATTACAAGGATAGGAGATGTAAATCTATTGCTAAGCTCTGAGTATTAAAATGCTAACCCCTTACAATGATCTAAACATGGATATTTATACTAAAATGGGGATGGGTAAGGTGGACACGTGGTCGAATCTGGTAGGCTATCACCTCTGCCATGTAAGCACCCATGCCCCCACTTGCTGCCGCCATGATCCAGCATTAAATGCGGCCTCCACTTGCTGATTGCCCGTTCGGTCAAGGTGTTCGGTGTGTGGGACCCCGTCATATGTGTTATCCTGCTTAGGAACACATCCCGAACGCCGATCGGTATCTCTGCCATAGGTGATTTGGCATAATTGTTTCCTGGAATGTTCCAAGTATAACTTTTATCCCGAATGCCGTTCGAGAGTTCTTTTGGACTGCCTTGGGCCCGCTGTTTCTTCCTGGATTTGGGCCTAGGGATATTGGGCCTGGACCCAATATCCCAACAACTACATATGAGAGAAAAATCTCCCGCTCAATTGTTAGGAACTTATCTTCTAATACCTAAAAGCACTATGTATGAGAGAAAATTCTCCCGCTCAATTTCCTTGATCAATTGTTAGCAAGTTGATCTTCTAATGCCTAGAAGCACTACTACATATGAGAGAGAAAATTATGTTACTCAATTATTAGCAAATTTATCTTCTTATACCTAAAACTACTACATAAAATTGGGATCATCTCACTGCATTGAGAATTGAACCCATGACCTCCCATAAGTGAGAGTGAGTCGGTGACCAGCTGAGCTGAACCGCTTCCTTATGCCGGTTTATCTTATACTTAAAAGAACTACATATATGAGACTGTTAGGCTCCCTAGATTCCGGGACCATCAGAGACCTCGCTCAATTGTTAGCAAACTTATCTTCTAACACCTAAAAGAACCTTATATGAGAGAGAAAATTGTTTCGCTCAATTATTAGCAAACTTATCTTCTAATATCTAAAAGCACTCCATATGAGAGAAAAAGTTATTACGCTCAATTCTTCTACTCAATTGTTAGCAAGCTTATCTTGTAATAAATAAAAGAACCACATATGAGAGAGAAAATTGTTCCGCTCAATTATTAGTGAACTTGTCTTCTATCTTCTAATACCTAAAGTACTATATATGAGAGAGAAATTCTTCTGCTCAATTATAAGCAAATTTTTTTTATAATAACATGGACCCCACTAATTGGTATAGTACGGAGATGATAATAAACATAGGAACAGAGAGCAACGTTTTTGTGTTGTTGAGCAACACCGTTTTTTCTTTGTGATTAGCCATGTGCTGTAAGGTATGAGAGGAGAGAGAATTGGATAGAGGGAGGCGCGGGTTTCATTAAGAGTGGAATATTCTTGATTGAGTTGTTTGTTTTCTTATATATAAATAGATAAAAGTTTTTTTTATATTTTTTTTGTTGACATATAGATGTTATGTTAGATTCCATATGCAATGAAATACTCACAAAGAGGAACATGTACGTTTCTTTGAGGATAGTATTTTCTTTGTATGAGCATACTATTTTTTTTATAAACACGTAAGTTTCTTCGTTCCCATAGACTCTTTGAATTAATCAAATCCTACTGATTCTTGTAAGCAAGTGTTTGATGCTATAATTCAGCATGTGCAAGGATTTTTAAAGAAAATGTTTGATGCATTTAGTTTGTTATGTTGTTTTCTTAGTTTCATTGTTCAGAAAAAGGTGGGATCGTTGCTCATATTCCCAAGGATTTTTGCCCCCTCCCAGGGAAAGAGAAAGGACAAATTAAAAGGCTCGTATCTCATATCTAAAAATGTAGAATTCGACTTCATAGTGAGCACTCATGAGCACAATCAAGAAAAACTATAAGACTAATTGAAATATAGTTGATTGACTAATGCAAAAACTGAAAACACAAACACTAAACACTAAACACCTGAATGACTCATAATGTATGAATTCTACATTTGTTCAGAGTTTCAATGATATACTACATTTGTTTTGTTGATACGTTTTTTACCGCTTTACATTGTTTTTTAATAAACCTTCAAATATTTTTTAAATTTTATATATGCAATATTGGTGTCGTATGAAAGATCGTAAAAAGTTATAGTTTTTGATATATATATTTTGAAAATTAGAGTAAAAATAAAAAAGTTGTAACACTTTGAAAAAATTAGTAATGATTTCAATACAAACACTAAACACCTGAATGACTCATAATGTATGACTTCTACATTTGTTTAGAGTTTCAATGCTATACTACATTTGTTTTGTTGATAGTTTCCGTCTTACCGAAGTAGCATAAAAAAGGATTTTGAAGGGATATTTGTTCAATTCAATATCAGGTGGAATGATTTTCTAAAGCTACAATTTGAAGGCTAAGACGTTTACAGAAGACATTATCATTTTTCTTCCAAACTTAAAAACTTAGAACCCGTTTGTTGACTCTTTTTCGGTTTATCAGCCAACTTTTTAATCAAACACGTAACTTTTGAGTTCGCGCACTGGATTTTTATTAATATGAAAATGTAAGGTTAGAGTTACTTTTCTATCTGTATTGGCTGAAGTTACATGCAGTAGATAATTTTTTTTTTTTTTTTTTATTAATAAAAAATATTATAATTTTTTTTCATAAATCGGCATAATCAACCAATACAGCCACTTCAGCCAGAACTTCATAAATTTTAGCAGAATCAACCGATTAACCCAATTTTATATTTTCCATTTTACCAATGATATATTTTTTACCGCTCTACATCGTTTTTTAATAAACCTTCAAATACTTTTTAAATTTTATATATGCAATAATGGTGTCATATGAAAGATCGTAAAAAAGTATAATTTTTGATACATATTTTTTAAAAAATTAGAGTAAAAATGAAAAAGTTGTAGCACATTGAAAAAATATAGTAATAATTTTAATACAATGGCCCCATTAATATTATTGATGCCATGTTTTATACTTTTATTATGGAGTGATACAAACGGTTGTCTTGATAGAGTTGCTTCCTTATTATTATTAGGGAGCATTATTATTTAATTAGTCCTTGAATTTGCCACTTGGCATTTGTATATTAAAGGAGTGAAATATGGAGAGAATGACACATAGGATTGTCTTTTAATGAGCTATTTCTTTTCTTATATATAAATAGATACTATCCTACTAAGATTGGAGGCACTGTAATCACCTAAGGTCTTTCCTAATGCCGGATTAATTATTTATTTCTAGCTCAAATCTTGGTCCTTCTCCATCGTTTGAAGGATTCATCGCGCTACTGGAGGGTTCATCGAGTTCTGGAAGAGAACGCAGGTATATAGAAGATAATAAGTCTGACAGCAGGATGAGTGAAAGGGGGAAATAGTCTATATCAGAATCAGCGCAGAGTATAATTAAAGGCGGGGGTGAGGGAACAAAGGAGGAAGCGTAGGGGGAGCAAAAGAGAAGAAGGATCTGGGAGGTCCAGGGAGAAGACATGATTGGGGAAGATAGCATGGCTCTTGATGGGACAATAAATAGGGAAGGGGCGGGCTTCAATCAGTAAGCCCGCCGAAGTTGATACAGTCAGAATGGATGAAGAAAGTTCGGATGCTCTTGCGGTTCGGCAGGCTCGGTCAGTAGCTCAAGTTTAGTTGCTGTATTTTTTTCATTAGTGACAATTTATTTTTGTTTTTTGGTTTTTTTCGTTTTTGTTGTTCCTGTTTGTAAGACAATGGATTTAGATGTGGGTGATGGGAGGAATGCGGTAACCGTCTTTGGCTGATTTGTGTCCATTAATGGATCAACGAATTATATTACTTCTTTGGAGGTGATTAATTCTGAGTCTGGTTCGCGGGGCGGCGGTTGTCAGGAATCTTTTTTTCGGATTACCTACTATCTGAATGATGTGTTATCAATTTAAGTCCATTTCTTCTAAAAAATACTATTATATACTTTCGTATAAAATATGACACAAAAGCTCGCGAACCAGCTCGCGAGCCACGAGACTGAAATAAATATGTTTGAATTGAGGTTGTTAACTATTCAAATCAAGCCGAGCTTATTATGATCAAACTCGAGGCGAGTTTTTCCCGAACGATTGACGAGCAACTCGCGAGCGGCTTGATTCATTTACAAGGAGAACCGTAGTTTTCAATTTTTTATTGGTGAGTCCGGTCAACCTTCCTTGACCCATTTTTTTAAAAAAAGAATGACACCCCATCCTTGAGGGTCCCCCAACACCGACCGGACGGTACGATGGGAGGATGTAAATTGGACTATGATCACAATCTGACAGATAGAGAGTGGAGCTCTGTCTCCGGTACTTGCAGAGACCCTATGCATTTTTGAGCACAGTAACCCCTCATCGCAGTTACCAGAATTCGAACCTGAGACCTAACCCTTGTGAGTTGTGACACTCCCTCGCTACTAGTTGAGCTATGCCCCCGGTCCTTACCCAATTTTTTTTGTTTAGTTCTACTCCGTTTAAGAAATGAGGATAGAAAATCCAAAATAAACGTCGACCACATGTTACCATGCTGGTGGCAGCACAGCCCTCGTCTATGCAACAACTCCAACTTGCTTCGAGCAGTAGCATCATCTGGAATTCATTTACACCATCTCCTCTACACCCACGTCGGCTCTACATATTTCGCCGGCGGATTGCGAGACCTTCGAAATCCTCCGATGGGACCGCCTTCGAGGTTAAGTCGTACATGGACGACAGCAACTCCGTCTCCGGCTTGGTTAAGAAAGTTGTCGGTTCGCTTCCTGTCATCGGACTCATCGTCAGAATCGCCAGTGGAGAGGGCGGCATAGGCGGTGATTTAATCGATTTTGCCGAGTTCAGAAGGAGAGTGGGGAAGAAATGCTCGGTCAGTGATTCCATAGCTTTCTACGACTTTCAGGATCGGAGAGGCCGGGTAATCTTCCTTTCCTTGCACCTGAAATCATGAATTGCGCCGTTCTATCGAATATCAGATTTAAAATTACTTTGCGTGGTAGGCAGGGGATCCATTGTATTTTCTATTATGCTGCTGGTTAGCTGCGGTTGGTGCTGGTCTGCTAAAATCCGAGGAGATATTAGTAGGTGCTGCCAGGCTTCGTTTATCGAACGATATTGAGTTCGAGGAGCAAACTTTTATGGCTATGATGAGCGAAGCCAAAGAGGTCAGTCTGTCTAGGCTTTATTAATTGATTGCCTACTTATCACTTGATCTATACCATTGTTTGGTTAGTTGTTTAATTGGTTGAATGGCCTTGGGATGGTGGAAAGTGAAGTGCTGTTGTGCATTTGGTTGGGAGAGCAATGCTTATGTTTGAAGCCATTAGAAGGGAAAGATACACTAAAATGCCAAGGAAAATGTTTTGTATTCATCATTGTATGTTAGAAAGTACTAGTTCAATCAAAACATATAGGTTTTGCACACCTAGTTAGTTCCTTGTTTTCTATAAGGCGAATGTAACAAGTGAGATGAGTTTGGATCAATATCTAAAATTGATTTGTTGAGTTAAAAACTCTCCCAAAATTCCTTTACTTCCAGATTTCTTTCCCTAGTATTTTCCAGATTTCAATATGCTAACCTGCCCGCCTATAAGGGAAAGATTCATGCAAACTCATCCAGTTTGAGTATTTTGGGGGAGTTGCATTTACCAGGCTCCAAAATCCAAATGGACCTATAGGTAAACACAGATACATCCAAACTCCTCCAATTTGACATAAAGCCCATTATACTTCCAATTACATAAATTAATCAAATTCTTGCATACAATGAAGTATGAACTATGTTTAAGTAATCATAAAGTTTATTCTACATTAACAAAATTAAATTAGTTCCTTAAAAAAAAAAATTAAATTAGTATAAATGTTTCAAATACTGTATTAAAAATTCTATTGATGAGCAAAAGTAGAATTCAATTTTGACAAAGAATCGAATTTGAATTTTTTAAAAAATGAAATCCAAAAGCAGAGAAGAATAAGTTATGTTTACCACATGAATAGCAACTGACAGTTGAGTGGGATGATGGGAGTGATATTTATATACTACCGTACTATGTATTTTATACTCCGTAAAATACTCCATAAAGTTTTTTATCCCTCACATATCTTCCCCTCTTTTTAACCAAATAAAGACTAATCAAGACATACTAAGACATTGCATTGGGTGATCAAATTTCAGAAACGGGCAAAAGCAAAAGCTCCTAAGCCAAGCATACCTATGGAAATCAGAGTTGAGAAAGCAGTTGATGCAATTTATGTGTGTTGCTTCGGGAGGGGTGAGATGGAAGAAGAAGAACAGAGGCTGTTATGTGTCATGCTTGGGGTCGTCTTTCCTACAGTTGGGAAGCAGGAGGTAGAGAGGATTGTGAAATCTAAGGCAACTCAAATAGCAAAGAGCACGGAGGAAGGACAAGTTCCTGTGCCGAAGTCCCTATCAAAAGAAGCTGTGCTGATGCAATTGAAGGATTTGGAATTTCTCAAGCAACAAGGCAATTGACTTAGAAAGGTAAGAACACCGGGACACAAAGGCATTCTGAGCTAAAGTATGAAAGGAACACTGATCTACCCGTACTGCTTGTAGCAAGAATTCAAAAGAGACTCGTAGACACAATTTTTTGTATAAAGCCGAATGTAATGTTGTGTTGATGGATAAAATGATATTATTTCCATCCAGACTTTTAAAATGTGAAATCTTTAGGCAACATTTATAAACCTGAATTGAATGTAATACTCCGGTATTATACTCAAATACTCCCTGCATCCCCCACAATGATGGGTTGTATATGTTAGAAGTTTGATCAAGGATGTTTTCTTTTGGATGCTTTTCAATCCCCCGGATCAGGCCAGACGAATAAATTTCAATCCAAAAGAAAACATTCTAATATACTTTTATATAAATTGATTTATAACATGAAGGCAATATAGAGAGTAATAACAATGATAATAATCTAGTCAATGGAAAAAATTTAGAATTTCCATTAATACTATTTAAAAAGTTGTCAGAATTGAACTGACTAAAAAGATCGAAAATGCCTTTGTGTGACGGAATGAGTATATTATTATTAGTGTAAATTGCATTGCACATGGATATGATTACACTATTAGTGTTTCATTCATGGCCCAAGTCCGATTCTAGATTGATTCCAAACTGGATTTGCAAGTGTTATAAACAGGCGATCAAATCAGAACCGGTTAGGCAATCTTACATTGGAGGAATTAGAGACATATCAGCATAGGATCTGGTACCGGTCTCGATTTCATTTCTGGTTTTGAGAGAAAAGCCGAATGCCACTAATGGTCCTGACCGGGTTTCAAATCCGGATTTGAGCATGACCAACTCAATGGTCTGTGGAGACCCATTACTTCATTTTTCGTACAATACATTACTTTCTTTTTAAAAGGCACATGATGAAAAGCTAAAGAGGCACTTAAAAGATTTATACTAGAGAAAACCACCGACAAAGGCATAAATCTAAGTCGATAACAAACAAGTTCAAACTTATATACTCCATATATGATCAACTTAACAAAATCCCATTATAGAGAATATGTCAAGTCTTACCTTGCCCAATGTTTTTAAGGACAATATTTGAAGATCATTGTCCAAGAACCGTGGTGGACAGGACCAATCTTCGCCCTACTATTATGGAATGGCCAATTTACGGTCCTTGAATGGGTTAAAGCTGAATCACAGGTCAATTCATGTGCATTGCTGGGTTGTTCGAGACCTGTTTTTACTCTATTTTATAGAATGATACCAGTTTTGTACCCGGGTAAAACTTCCATATGAAATTTTAATTTATAAACTATATAATGTCTATAGAGTACTCCCTCCGTCCCGCTATGATTGTCCCATTTTACCCTTTCGGTCCGTCCCACTAAGATTGTCTCATACCTTAGTTGGTAAAATTTGTGTGGTTCTAAATCATTCTTACTTTATTCTTACTTTATCAATTCAATATCAAGCACATAAACTCACTTTTATTAATAAACGTGTCACATTCTTTTGTCCCAAACTTAAGGGGCGGAGGTAGTATGAGTTTTCTAATTTGCATTCACAAAAGCATTGAATTGTTTATCAACAGTATAATAACAAAGAACACAGAATATCCTAGAATATATAACTCCTAAAAATGGCTAAGAGATACTTCGTATTAAGTAACTGAAAAACTGCATTTCTAAATTTTGGAAAATGTCATTGTAGATAACATTATGGTGTTGGCGGAAAATCATCGATCAATTAAAATCTTTTAATTCATTTTGCTCTTGTTCCTTGATATGACATCACAAAACTATTTTGACGGAACCGAATCAAATCAAGAATGGATTCAATCCAGAATCATTTTTTGCATCAATATCTGGGCAAGTAACTGACTTATCCAAGCCCAATTAACTTCGAGATCCATCCTTAACCCACGAGTTGATGAAGTTTAGATTTCACCTGCAGCTAACACAAGTTTCTAGCTAGGGGACTTCCTTCTAAATTCTACGTTAAAATTGTTGACACGTTTATTCTATGTTAACCCAAGACTATTGTGTTCTTAAAGTTCGAAATCTATCAAGCTCCAAGAAATAATAACTCTAACTCATTTTTTCCTTAAAATTATCATTAATTAAGTAACCTTATCGGCCTAGGATCTTAAATATGAATCAAGTATCTATTGAGGATTTGAAACTAAACGGTTATCATCAAGCTAAGGTTCTAACAACTTAGGATGTTTTCTTTTGGATTATTTTCAGTCCCAGACCAGACCAGACTTAAACAGACCAAACCAGATCAGACCGGAGTGTCATAGTTATAGAATTCACAGAAACCAGACGTTTACCAGACCAGACCAGAATTAAACACACCAGATCAGCAAATTTCAGTTCAAAAGAAAACATAATCTACCAATTCATGGATAAGAAAAATATATTAACATTAATAGACTTCTACGTAAAGAAAAGGGAGAAGAATTCCCTTGGGTTTTCTCCACATTCAACAACATAAGTACATGATAAAACTTTTTGTCATTTCAAAGTCATCCACAAACATACTTCATAGTACTTCCTCCTCCCTTGAAACTATGTCAAATTTGAGTGACACAAGGAATAAGGAAGTGAAACAGTATGATAAAAGTTTGTACAAAAGAGAGAAATAACCGGAATCATAAATTAGTTGATTAAAAACAAAGTGATAAAGTTTTTTGGGACATCCCGAAAAGGAAAGATGAAAAAAATTTAAATGACGTCAGGAGTAATTTAAAACCCCAACAAAAAATCTTGAAACAATCTCTCAATGCAAGTGCATGTGGCAAAGCCTATTCATTATCTGTCAGCTTGTAATTAAATTCCAATTTACATCCCCCTAATTAACTGTCTGGCTAATGTTGAGAGCCTTAAGGATGAGATGTCATCCTTTTTTCCCTCATTGCATTAGGCGCAGATCTTAGTCGCGTGACCTTGTAAAAAACATACACACCGCTAGAATCTCATAATGTTTTTAGTTGGACTAAATTGTTCTGATTTGTTTAAATTTAGTTTAGTCTTCGATAGATTTCCAATCTATATATTTTATAAGTGTCGCAGTTTCATCTAATCTCATCAATTTTCATCATTTTCATTTATCCCAGTGCCGCAGGGGGGGGGGGGGTTGGATGTACGCAGTCTTACTCTTGTACAGAGAGACTGTTTCCGGATGACCCATAGTGAAAATCGCGTCCAAAATTGCTTGGACTGACTGCTGCTTCATAAAAATGAAGAGACAGACATTTTAGTGAGCCATTTTTCTTTATTCCATCATATTTTCAAGCCAAAAAATAATGAATCTTTGGCTCCATTGCAAATGACGTAAATCTCCTCAGATAATCTAATTTATTTAAACTTGTCTAATCAATCCTCAAATAAATTCAAACAAAAAGGGAAAACTATCAAATTAGCCCCCATACTATGACGAAAAAGTCGATTAGGCTCTCGTACTTTACAAACACTCAATTAAGTCCTCGAACTATTTAAAAAAAGTTCAATGAAGCCCTTTTGGTTGGTAAGTAACTGGTTTCCCGGTTAAACGACGACGACGATGTGCTCGAACCCCAGCAACGGCGGCTGCCGGGAAACGGGTTACATTTAACTGGGAAACCGGTTACTTACCGACCGAAAGGGCTTAATTGAACGTTTTTTAATAGTTCGAGGACTTAATTGAATGTTTGTAAAGTACGAGGGCCTAATCAACTTTTTCGATATAGTACATAGTACGAGGGACTTATTTAATATTTTCCCAAACAAAAACATAGTCGATCTCCGTTTTCTTGGTCCACAAAAGAAATAAAAACACAGTCAAAAGCAACTCACTCTCAGTCCTCTCCGTAACCGCAATTTCAGTGATCAACTCTGCTATTACAGAGAAAACGACCAATCCACCACTAGCCTCAACTGCCGTTTGCTTTGTTCCGACACTCTTTACTTTTGAATCTATGTTCTAGCATAAAGCAAATGGAATCCAGAAAAGCAGAACCCATTTCCCACCGGGTGACCGGGGAACCGGACTCCGTTTCTCATCCGCTGCCCGGTAAAGCAGATTCGGGCTCCCAGTCTCACCCGAACTCGGATGAGCCCGAAAAAATCACTGCTTCAGACTCTTCGCCTGCTAACTCCGACGAAATGGAATACAAAACACCAGAACCCATTTCTCGCCGGGCGCCCGGGAAACCGGAATCAGTCTCCCATCCGGTGCCCGCGAAATCGAAAGCGGGTTCTCTCTGGAATCTGATGGAAACCGGGGAAGATGCGGATAAAGATTCGCCGCCAGCTTGCTCAAACCGAATGGAATCTAAGAAACGGGAACTTGCTTCTAGCCCGGCGGCAGGAAACCCGGGATATGTTTCTCATTCGTCATCAAAGACAGGAAAATCAGATTTTCACCGGAATTCGCAAGATACCGGAAAAGCCGCCGCTTCAGATTCTTCGCTGGTTAGCTCACTCCGAAGGAAGCCCAGAAAACCAGAACCCGGAAAAGCGACAGCTTCAGCTTCTTTTCCAGCTAGTAATCAAAATTATACTTCCAGCGGAGACGGTGTTACTGAAGAACAAGATTTGCCGCCGGGAGAGTCAACGCAGAGGTCTTCGATTTCTTCCGACGTAAGCTATCTAACCCAAGAATCCTCCCCGAGGGAAGAAAGGGCAATCGTGTGCCTTCCGGCTCCGGTGGAGATGGATCCGAGGCAAGAGGTGGTGGTGAGAAGGTCATCGGAACCGGACTCTTTGGCCTTGGTGGTGATTGATGAGTACGCCGGAGATGTGGACGGCGGTGCGGGAGGAAGCAGGGGCAGCGAGAACCGGCGGAAGTTGAAGGAGAGGTTGTCGACGATGAGGAGGTCGCAGAGAGAGAAGAAGTTGAAGAAAGCTGCTTTGGGTTTTAGGGTATTTGGATTTATGCTGTGTTTGGTTTCCTTGTCCGTCATGGTGGCTGATCGGAGACAGGGCTGGGCTATTGATTCTTCCGAGCTTTACAAGGAGTTCAGGTCTTTTCTTCTTTCTGAGTGCTTCTCTGCTTAGGCGTTGTTTGGTAAGACTTATTTGATTAACATAAATTAATTTGCTGAACTTTATGTTAGGTAGGGCTGCATAAGAATAACCCGAATCGGCACAATCTGTCCAACCCAACCCTACCCGACCCTATTTAATCAAGTATTTTATTTTAAAAAATATTCATAATCCGTCCAACCCAACCCTATCCGACCCTATTTAATCGGGTATTTTATTTTAAAAAATATTCATGGTTTAAATATGTTTGAACCCGCACCTAATGGGTAGGGTTGCGGAATTAAAATCTCAAACCCGATAGTACCGACCTGGCCGAAGTTGATTTTACTATTATTATGCTACAAAGTTTTTTTTGGATAATTTCAATTTAAAACCAATGTGCTCTATATAAGACTTTATGATAATAGAATTATAATTAAACATTTACCATTTTGACTAAGTGATTATTATATATTTACTTTTCCTTCTAAATGAACTTTCTTTACGGAAAGATATTTTAATACTATTACCTAATGGTTTGCTTACAAAAGATACGAGTACTTGTATTTGTTTGTGTGTTTTGGAGACAAGTTAATCGAGTTTTAAATTGGTTACATTAATTTCTTATACGGAGTATGAAAGATGCAACCCAAAGTGATTTTTTTGTTGCAATATTCGACCCTACCCGACCCGTTCATGCATGGTTTGCAAACTTATTTTACGTATCGCGGGTTGGTTAATAGTCAACCCGAACAAATTAGACAGACCCAAAAAATATAGCAAACCCGACTCAACCCGCCCGATGTGCAGCCCTATTGTTAGGAATTGCATCTGGCAAAACCAATTTCAACGACATTCCCTCTTTAAAAAAAGTCAACGACATTAAAATGTTTTGACCACCATTTTAGGGACAGTTCGGAAATCTCTTTTCAGCATATTTGGTATTCCGTACTTCGTAACTATGAACTTTCGGTTTTATGCCTCTAATCGTATAATAATTAAAATATGTATAGGTTTAAATTACATTTCAACTGAATTGAAGTTATAGTAGATGCTGATATAACTTTTTTATTAATTTTATCATTAAAATATTTTAAATATTATTTTTTCACAGTCCAGTAGATTTTCAATTCTAAGTCGCTTCAACCATAATTTCATCAATTTCAATCGATTCAACCAATTTCAGTGACGACTTTAGTCTTTTCTCATTTTACCTTCTCCACCCATTTCACTATATTCGTCATATACGGAGTACAAAGGATTACATATTCGTATTTGATAATATTTGAGTGTTTGAAATTCATTCTTACTTTATTCGCATTTTATCAATTTAATATTAACGACACAATTTCACTTGTCCTAATTCTAGTAAAACTCCCTCTTGTCCTAATTCTAGGGGGGGTAAAATAAGTATAGTAAAAAGAACCTTATGTGTAAACAAAATGTCTTTGTCAAAGGAGAGATTTGCAAAATAAAATATCTCTACTTGGTAGAAGAAAATTATTCTAAAGTAGAGTGAATATGTCAAAAAAAGTTTGTCTTATTATTTTGGTGACAAGTACAAATAGGCCGAAGTGTGCTAGTATTATACAAAGTGTTAATCTTGGTTGTGTTTCACCATTGTAGCAAATCCACATGGCTTCATGGTATGGCTCAGTTACATACTCACATCTCGATCTTTTTTTGAATGAATCCAATAGTAAAACTTATTTTTAAATTAATTAATTCACGTTTAAAGAAAAACGCACCTTTTAATACTCCCTACATATTACTCCCTCCGTTCTTTTTTATTAGTCTCCTTAGGGTTTGACACGGGTTTTAATAATAAAGTTGTAGAGTAAGTATAGAGTGTGTAGGGTAAATGATAAAGTAGGAAAGATGATATATTAAAAAGAGTAAAGTGATGATAAAGCAGGAAAAAGAGTGTATTAAGAAGAGTAAAGTGATGGTAAAGTAGGAAAGAGAAAGTAGTTTGTAAAAAGTAAGTGAGATAAAAGTAATAAAAGTGAGGATATTTTCTCAAACACTTTCCTTAAAGGGAGAGGAGATAAATAAAAAAAACGTCTCAAAAAGGAAAGAAGGACTAATAAAAAAGAACGGATGGAGTATAAAGTTTGCTACGTTTCTTTTTTGGCATGTATTTGAAAAGTTTGTTACACTTTCTCGTTTTGGTAAGTTTTCTTTTTAAAAATATTCAGTTGTCTTTATTTTTTCTACTTTTTATCTTATCTTTCATACATTTTCATCTTCTCTCTTACTTTTTTATACTATTCATTATCTCTACTATTTTTCTCCTTAAATAATGTGCCAAATCCATATGTAACAATCTTTGAATTATGGAGGGAGTATATAAAAGTTAAAGTTAAATGTATCTTCTTTCTTTCCAAACATAGTTGAAGCGAAAAGTTATTATTGGCAGATATAAAAGTCTAATACGTAGTACAAAATATGCATTACATTCCTTAAACCCTAATTATTTTTGGACAAACAGAATGGGAAAAAGTGACAAATTGATAAGATCTAGTTATGTTTGGTTTGAACTGATCTAATATGATACTATGTTTATGTTTGTTCTAGTTTGATCTAGTCTCATCTCGTTTGTTTAAGTCTATTTTTGCCTGACCGTGTCTAGTCTGGTTTAAATTTGAAATTAGTTCAAGTGAAAATATTCTAACTAATTCTTACTCTATTTATCTATAGGACTTGAATTAAATGTAGTGATGATGGAAATGGAAATGGCAGGTACTCAACGACAGTCAATGCAATAGGGTTTGTGTACTCAGGAGCACAGGCAATTGGTTTGATTTATCACTTTGCAACTGGCAGGAATGCTTTCCACCACCCTTTCCGCCATCTCTTTGATTTTGCAGTAGATCAGGCAAGTTCATTAATCAACCTGACTTATTTTTTGTGTTTTAATAATGGTAGGGGAGATGCTGGATGAAGGTGTTTATTCATGTCTATATGTAAATGGTATTGGCATTACCATTGGTTGAAATTTGAGTGGGCATTGATAGATGAACAGGTATACCTGTGAATGTTTACCAGAGTTTGGTTGAAATTTCAGGTGATAACATACCTTCTAATTTCTGCATCGTCTTCGGCTGCCACACGGGTTGATGAATGGCGATCCAACTGGGGAAAAGACAGGTTCCCGGATATGGCGAGTGCGTCTGTGACAGCTTCCTTCTTTGCCTTCCTTTCGTTGGCTTTCAGCTCTATCATCTCTGGTTATGTTCTTTGCACTTCCAGATCCATGCACACTTAAAGTGATTTGGTGTTTTGCATGTAATTTTACTCTCTTGTAACAAGCTGTTTATTCTCAAGAAATATGTAAAGCCCCCTAAGTCCAAGGAATTTGAGATTAAGGATTGCGAAAGTTTAGTTTTCCAGCTAACGGGAAGTACATCTTCAGCGCACCGGAGGGAGTGACCGAGACTGTTGAGTGGATAAATTGAGAGAGCAGATGGAGTGAAGCCTTGACTCATGACTTCAATTCCTTAACAGTTCAATATTGCTCATCATATAAAGTTTATGGGGACATCAGTTTTGAACCGGAACTGGTATTGGTACTGTCGGTTATAGAAACAAAACCGATAGTGATCATATGTTGGGATAAAAACAGGGGTCTCCTTAGAAAATGTAGTGTCAATCACATTTCACCAGAAATGAAATTTGAATTAGTTCCTAAGAAGTAAGAACCAGAACTAGGACCTTGTTATTTTAGTTTCTTTTGCAGTTCTATCATATTGAGAATTGATACTGGTGGTTCCAAATTTGGAGCTGGCAAGGAAAAGAACAAGTACAATGATTCAATTTACCCTTCATACGTGTTTTAACTTTTAACAATACTATTATTCAGAATTTTAATTGAAAAATATTTATGAGTACAGAAATTAGATAAACCAAATCTTTCAACCACTTTTCACCCATATCATTACTGCTACAATCAATGTTTTATATTGTATATTTAGGTTGATCTTTTTTATTCTTTTTTTGGTACACTTCTCATCATGTTAAGCCCCCAACGTCCCGAATCCAATACATCGAGTTTAGAAGAACAACGGAGGAAATCATACGCAGCGTCTCTTTCCTATAACAGTGAATCTTCCACAAGTGAAGGATTGTAATTACACACATCCTACTAAAGAACTTTCTTTTAATTCTTAAAAAAGGGATGAATGACATTGATAACCATTGGTGATTGACCTATAACAAAGACAACCTTAAGAAAAAGACAAGACTATCAATCTTGAGTTTTCATGAATGATTTATTTTAGATAACGTAACAATACTTATTAAGAAAACAAAACCAACACTGTCATATATTCACAAGTACTCCTACCCCGAGTAGCACTTCTTACCTTATGCTTCCAGAATTCCAGGTTGCATGTCACTAGGAGTACGTACAACTAATGCTCCATTTTTGGTGATTTTTTTGTTTGTTGATGCATCAGAAAGAAATTTATGGTAATTAACAATTGGAACTTGCACTGTCGGTTATTGAAACAAAATCGATTGCGGTCACATGTTCTTGTGATAAAAATCGAGGTCTCCTTAAGAATGAAAAGTTATTATGAATACACAAAACCGTCCCGAACCACCCTTGGTTGTTGGTGCAAAACAGAACATGCGCTTTTGCTTTTTGGAGCAGTATAGCTTCCATAGTGTGCAAACACAAACAGCGCAGTTTTATACCATCCCATCAATCCCATAATAATATCTCCTGGAAACGAACGGACATCATTTTCCAAAGCACAAGTATTTGATAGCACGTGTAAATGACATGACCAACTTTGTCATATGCAGCTTCGTGCTGGACAACTATTGTCATCTTTTGAACAAACATCACTTTTTATCTTGTACTTTTACTCCACATATACCAAAAAACACTCACAACAAATACTGACATACAACAAAACAGTTTTTTTGAATAATCTGACTACTCCGTTGATTCAAGCAGTGTGAGGTGCCAACAGTTAACACCATTTTTTACATTAAAATAGTGTAAACATCACATCAAACAGTAATTTATCTCCAACAGTTTACACCATTTTCATCACCAAAAAGGAATATTCTCTTTTTATTCTTTTTACTAACTTTTTACCATTCTTCTATTTAAGTATCTAACTATCATATATTTATACATTAGCCCCTCATTTAATTATTTTGACATTTCTAAATTAGTATGTACCATGTATGTTTTTAATTATGTTTTAATTTTAATTATAATGGTGTTATTAATTGTAATTTTAATTATGCTATTTCCTTGAGTACCATTTGTATTCTGTTATAATGTTGTTTGGATTTGAAACTTTATTTATAATATTGGGTGATTTAAATTTTATTATATTTTTTTCTATCAAATTAATAATTTTAATTTGTTGTTCTATAAGGATGTTTTTACTTGGACTGTAATTTGTCTCGGGATCAGATCAGACCTGATTAGACCACACTTGGGTGGTTATAAAAATACAAAGAAATCAAACCAGACCACATCATTTCAGATCAGACCAGATCAAATCAGACCAGAGCGGACAAACCAATTTCAGTCCAAGTAAAACATCCTAATTTGTTGTTTTAAAAATGGGTGAAAATTATAATAATTAAAACTTGAAGGTCACATTTAAAAGGAAAAGAAATTAAAAAAGGTGGATAGTGTTAGATATGGCGTACGCCATATATGGCGTAAAGTCATCTCCTCTCCCCCAAAATGGTGTAATGGTGTGGAGAATGGTGTCATTATTGGAGCAAGTTTTTGGCAAATACACCATTTTGGTGTGTGATTTGGTGGTCTGTTGGAGATGGCCTATAAAACCCTAGTAACCCACAACCCAACTTCATACAAACAAGTATAACTTCTACAGAGTACAAAATTTAGTTTTTACATGAGTACCCCCATTTAATTTTTTGATTACAAATCCCCACTCAGTAACAAACACTTGGGCTTTGAAGAATTATAAATAAAGCAATGGTGCAAAACTTAGCACATAGGTTGGTGGTGCAGTTGGCGGGAACTCCAAGTTGTGGTACTATTCAAAGGTGAAGAAGGGAGAATGATGGTTGGCAGCCTCATGCTTTCTTCAACATGAGGGAAATCAACGGTGTAGTGAAGGCCGCGGCTTTCATGCCTTGAGAGGGCGCTACTGACCACCAGCTTGGCACAACAGAAGAGATTCCTCATCTCACAAGCCTCCAATCCAACCATGGTTGATCCCCAACCATGCTTAAATAAGTATGTTTCCCACTCCCTTTCCAACTCCCTGATCGTCCTCTCAGCGCTTTCTAATCTCGTCGTTGACCGGACAATCCCAACATATTCCCACATGATCGACTGCAGTTCCACCCTCACCTCCCTTGTCCGTCTAACGATTTTCTCCAACATCACGTCCCCCAATGACATGGGGACCACTGGTGGGGGCCACCAACCCGAAGCACGTCCCGACCACATCAAGTGGTGGTCGATCGAAGGCTGAACGGCCCTCCGTGCAAACACCAACGCTTCCAGTAATGAATTGCTAGCAAGGCGGTTCGCTCCGTGCAATCCTGTGCAGGCAACCTCGCCAGCTACATAAAGGCCCAACACATTAGTCTCGCCGTGGAGCCCGGCCCGGACTCCGCCGCACATGTAATGGGCAGCGGGGATCACGGGGATGGGTTGCCGGGTGATGTCAAGCCCATACTTGAGACACTCCGCCGCTATGTTTGGGAAATGATGAAGAATATCTTCTCTGTTTCTGTGACTGATGTCTAGAAGGACATACTTTTCGCCACGCTTTTTGAGCTGGTCATCTATGCTTCTAGCTACTACGTCTCTAGGTGCTAGTTCTGCTCTCTCATCATATAAGGGCATGAACCTCTGCATATCCAAGTTATAAAGGATACCCCCATCACCTCTGACAGCTTCTGTTATCAAGAAGGCATTTTCACGGGCATTGGTTGGTCGAAAGGGGAGGCCTTCATCAGCTAGGGCAGTTGGGTGAAACTGGACAAACCTATAAGGAACAAATATCAAGAGTCATTATCGCTGAGCATAGGAACCTCTCTCATGTAGCTTGAAATAGAGGTCACTTACTCCATGTTAGAAATGACAGCCTGAGCTCGATGAGCCATAGCTATTCCATCTCCGGTGGCAACCTCCATAACATTTACCACAATATAATTAGAATGGCTCATGGCAGTAATCATTTACAGTTTTACACTATGTTTGGGAAGAAGGAAATGAGTTAAAATATGGAGAGAAAGAAACTTTACCTAGTTTGGTACTTCGGTAGGGAAGGGGAATAGGGATGGAAAGGAAATTAGACCTTATTCTCCATCCTCCTCTTCCCGTCCAGAATGAAAGGAATATTCACAATTATTATAAAAAATATACAGTGCCTTTTAATAGGGCTCCTTAAGATTTTAAAATTTAATTTGTGTATGTTGTAACGTTTAAAATCGTAAATATATAACATTACAAATTATAAATTCTTATTTTACCTCAATCAACAAAAAACATTAAAAAGTAAATCTGATTATTTTCGTTCTGTTTTTATTTTACTTAAATAGAAACACTGATACGAACTCTGATATTGTAACAGTAAATTGATCGGTAAAGTGTAGAAAAGAAGAAGAAGAATAAGAAGAAGAAGAAGAAGAAGAAGATACAGACGCTGGGTTTTTTACAAGAATATTACTAAAATAAAACTTATGCATATAAATATGACTATTCATTACTACAACGCGGTGTTGTGGTAACTTAAGTTCAAAACTTGAACATGAATTACTATGATCTCATTACTATTCTAGTAACTAGTCATATTTTTGTAAATCATCTTTATTTTGATCATATTTATGTAATTATTTCTTATTCTTTTCCCATGAGGCTTCTCAGTTTAACTAATTACTAGGCCCAGCCCACTTCTTTTTTTACATCTTATTAAAATAGTCAGTAATATTCATTATTATTTCCATTACTTCTCTCGCCATATCTTCAGGTCTGTATCATCACTCCCCCTTTGGACAACCACCTTGTCCTCAAGTCCTCAAGGTGGGGAGTAAGAAAATATCCATGCCATTCAGCTTCATTCTCGCGCCCCTTCCTTCCCAGTACCTTGATGACTGCTGAATTATGATCTTCAGCACTTGATCCTTCAATATCCTTCAATTTTCCAGGTTTATCTGCAGCAGAAGTAATGTCTGAAGTTTCCTTCTTTTCAGTAGCCTTCCAGCACTCAATAAGGACAAATACTCCCGTGCTTCCATGAACTATCAATGTGTTGGACGTAGATTTGTTGTTGCTCAACTCATGGTCTACAAAAAGCACTATGCAACCTTCTCCAAAAAACATGGATACTCTTTGCTTCTGGCCTCCCCTAATATGGACTCCTATTTCACTAATTTCAGTAAGATCACCACCAGGGAGCAATTGCAGATCATGTTGTACAGCAGTTACATCTATTACCTCCTCCTGATATCTGGAAGGTTGAAACCGAGGGCCAAATTTTATGTATTCACGCACTGCTGCTTTAAAGATCCCAGACAATGATGGTACGCAGGCAACTGTTCCACTAATCAGGACGCTAGCCTCAGAAACTGCAGGTACCTCACCAAGCATAACTACAACGACAGCAGTTGGGAGCACGGAGTCAAGCATCTCCTTGGTTGAGCTAAGATGACACCTCAATAGAGAGTAGGTAGGATACTTGTTCGGTCTCTTTTCAGAGACTGCCATATCAGCAGCAAGCATCAACTCTTCTACCCTTTGATACACTCCAATATCAACAGGATAAGGCGTGTAAGTGGCAACCTGACATTGAACTTCAGTATCAATTTGAATTTGAACTTCACCGGGCTCATCATCAACACTTTTAGAAACCATTTGAACACTCATTTCTTTCTTTTCAATTTCAGCATTTTCCCCAAGGTAAGGAATGATTTCAACCTTCATTTCCTGAACTACATCATACTTTCGTTTCATTGCAGATGAAACTCGATGCAAACTTGTACTCAAGTTCTGCCAACTAACTTGATGCGGGGCATCCTTTTCACAAAAGATATAAAGGTTGACTGCGTTCTTTTGTATATGACCTCTATCTTCAGCCTGTAGCATGTGTGTAGGTTCTCTTGGTAGTTCCAAAAGGACAACATATTGCATTCCAGGAGATTCCACACATAGGTGCTGAGATCCCTTTTTATTTAAAATTTCACAGGAGAACCACCTTTTGCTGTAAGTACAACATCCTTTTTCTTCCAGAAGCATGGCCGTACCAATGAAAATGTCTTTGAACATCTCTGAATCCTTGAATCTTATAGAAATTACCAGCAATTCATAGCACTCCAACGTCTCTTCCTCTGATACCTTTCTATTCGAGTATTTTTGAGAATTAGGGAATAGCAGGGACACATTTTCATTTCCTTTCTTGTCATCGAATCAATATTCAACATTCTCAGGTACCAAGTTATAAGCAGACTTTGATGTATGCAGATCAATCTCCCTTCCTGAGCGGTTATAACTTCTTTTAATGAATACCTCCTCCTCATATGATGTAGCCTGTGAACTGTTGGTGTCTCCTCTGTCTAGAGGAGTACTAGGGTTTGCATAAGGATATAGCAGCGATTTGGAGTCTCCTCCTGATAGCGTCACACTTTGATGTGAGCTGATAGCAGATGAAGAGACCTGCAAACAGGGGAGATCTGTTTGCGACGAAACCTGAGGCCTGGGAGGTACTGTTTGCGGCAAAGCTGGCAATCTGGAAGAAGCTGTTAACTACGACACACACACGGCTAGCGACTTACTGTGAGGAACTGATAGCGTCGACGAACGTTGAGAATCTGTTTGCGATGGTGAACTGGAAGACGCGGTCCGCGACTGCAAACCGGGAGAAATCGTTCGCGACTGCGAACTAGGATAAGTCGTTCGCGACTGCGAACTAGTAACAGTGACAAACGACGATGCTGAGTCCTTCGTTTCCGAGGGTCGACGGCTCCTGACTGTCCGCGATCGACCTCTAGGTCACCTGCGACAAAACTGACGCAAACCGTTGCACATCCTGTCCAGAGACTCTTCCATCTTAGTCCACATCTCCTTCACATGACGCTCAATGTTGTCCATACTTTTCTCCATTCGGGGTGACACATAGAATTCGTCCATCTTTCCAGCTCGTTGATGATGATGATCGATCCAGACTCCAGGAGCGAAAGCTCTGATACCAATTCCTGTCCCGGCTAGGAAGGATTGTGATTAATACATTAAAGGATTGAGCCCAGTTGGAGAGACAAAAACATCAGGCCCAGTAGTCCTCACAGCATGATCTGATTTCCACACCAGTGCTTGAATCCTCTTTCCCTGAGTTTTATCTGTGACTTTTCCCTGATCCTCTAGTTTCCTTGACAGTTGATCCTTCACTTTACATGCACGAATTCCATTTTTATCCACCTCAGGGGTTTTCGAACCTTCATGATGATTTGGATCATCATCTGGATCTGGTTCTTTGATAGATGGTTCAGCCGGCTTCAACTCAGAATTCATTTTCAGCGATGCAGTCCCTGGCAAGGAAACCGCTGTGATGCTCGGAAACCTGAGATGAAAGCTGCGAGCAAGGGAGATCCGTTTGCGAATTGGAAGAAGCTGATAATGACGATGTCTGCGAACTATGAGCAGCGGCTAGAGATGACAAACTCTGAGGAGCAACTAGCAACGGCAAACGATGATGAGCTGCTAGTGGTGGCGATTGGTGCGAAGCGGCTAAACTGGAGAAAACTGATTGCGACCCCGACGAGCATGGGCTTTCAGATGGCCGACGACGTACAAGACTCATCTTTACTTCTTATTTTTCTTTTCTCCAGTTAAAATTTCTCAAACATAGTGATACAGATAAAATAAAAGATATAGCTTGCCAAGGATCAGAGCATGATAACTCAAAACCACGTAGAACATAAGAAGTAAAAGTTATTGAAGAGAAAGATTTGATCCCCTACCAGAGGATTAGTGGTAGATGGGTATATATGCCCAGCCCCGCCTGATGCAAGCAGGGTTACCTTTGAAAAAAACCTTACTACCTGCAGTTCAAGCGCAAGTGACCCAACAAAACCATCAATTGGAAGTCCCTCACAATATATAAATTTAAGAATATCCAAGTAATGAGAACAAACTACATATCTTACCTCCAAGGTTTCAGTATTTAAAGTGTCAACTCCATGGCATATTGAGACAGAACCATCCTGCAGCAATAATTCAAATTGATATAGTTTAATGCAATCCACGCCTAAAAGTACAGCTAACCACTGAGGCCCTGTTTAGAACGTGGAAACTATAGGGAAAACACAATGTGGAGGAAAATATAGGAGATGTTTTAAAGTAAAGAAATAGTGGGGGGATAAAGCGTTAGTTAAGACTAAACTTTTTTCCTATTTGTTTAAAGACTAAGAAATCTAAACATATTTATGAAAAATAATTCAAACATTAGTCATATGACAACTTCTTTTATATTTTTTGTGGTAAAACCAAACACATGAACGTAAACTTTAATAGCATTTTCCCTACTCCCTAGCATTTCCCAGGATCTATACATATCCTTAGAGTGTTTCGCATAGCATCATTACAACGTTCAGTCGTCTAGCATACTCAAACTATTGTTCCGTTGGAACTTGGAGGTCAGGTAGTGATCATGAGACTTTCTATTACAAAAAGGGAGCAAAGAGCATAAGAAGCTAACCTGAGACGTAAGCAAGTCTATAGCAAAATGGTGCTCAAAAACATATATATTTGGATCTTTTTTTACTGCCTCCAACAATGCCCTCTCTATTTCCCTGCCTGTCATATCTGCTGCATGCACGATTCTGTGATGAGAGTGCCCGCCTTCCCTTGCCAAGTGCAAATTTCCATCCTCCCCGTGATCAAATGTAGCCCCCATGGCTATCAACTCTCTAATTCTGTCAGGTCCTTCTGTGCATACAACCTGGGGGGGTCTAAGTATGAGATAGCTATGAGCTAGCATAATTTCTTTTGAAAGCAATGATAAAAAAGGTACAGGACTAAGCATCAGACCTGCTGTTGAATATCCCATACCAGTTGTCTACTTGGTTTAGTCCAGTACATAAGTTAGATAAATTTCAGCTCATAAGGATCCTTTAGAAATGAGTTAGTTCCAAAAAATAGTCTTATAGATTGATCCGCTAGTGGCTTGTGGGATGCCCACCAACAGGATTGGGGTCAGTTTGGGACTTTGGGCCAATGTGTTCACCCATTCAGTGGTCCAGCTCCATCTTGATTAATGGAATGGGCTGAGTATTGGTTTGGTTCAGTATCCGACATTAGTTGTCTACTTAATTTGGTTTGTAAGTGTCGCGTTGAACCTCACCGATGTGAGGATCCTTTTAGAGTGAACTAAACCCAACTTAGCACATACAAACACGGTAATGAGGTTTTCAGAGAACATACATACTCTGACCGTCTCTTCATCACAGAGGTAAGCACCAGCCACAATTGTATCTTGCATATGGCTCTCCACCGAATCTTTAGGACAGAGAACAGCACTTACACCACCCTGAGCATAGTTAGTATTGCTCTCATGTGGCTCCGCTTTTGTTATGATTGCCACAGTTCCATGTTTTGCAACCTCAAGAGCATAGCGAAGGCCAGCAACCCCGCTACCAATAACAGCAAAGTCAAAGTACTTGGTAGAGCCATTTCTAAGGCATGATGTGATTGTTTTATGGGACTTGAAATTCACATAAGCTTGAGAGTGTGAAGCACTCTGTCGCAATATATTGGATGCATTGCATGACCTGGGACAAATTTAAAAATCTAACCATCAAAAATCACAATACACACAGACAAATGCACATATATGCAAATAGATTTATGCATGTATGTACACATACAACATACACGTGAATATATATGTATGAATGCATGTACAATTGTACATACATACATATGTGTGTGAGTGAATACATGCTTTGTTACCTGTATTATAAGAAAAATGATGTCAGAAATTATATATCCTGGTGTAATTGTAGCCATCACAAAAAGGTTTGAAGTCTATGTTGCATCAATTCTTCCAAATGCAAAAAAGTAAACTGTTTTGCAGCCATTATCACCATAATTTTTAACACTTTAATCCTACTAATTGTGGTTGATGGCATCATTTAGGGTTAATTAACACAATATATTCATGCAAAAAGTGTGCTGGCAATGTCTTACGTTGGATGCTCAACCTGATGCAACCTTCGTAAGAAGGAACAATGACATGAAAAGTTTAACACTGCCATCATCATGGATTGTTTTCCACATGAATGGAAATTATCATGAGAAAAAATAAGTGGAGATATATGTTAATGCAAGGCCATCAAAACACTGATAATGCATATTATTTTATATGACCCAACAAAATTACAATTTATAATTATGAAATTCAGTGGATAGAATAGTTACTACCAATATCAACAAAAATTGCAAATTAAACACTCACAGTAAAGGAAATAACACAGCTAAAATCATGATCCCCTAACATACCAAGACAGCGCTTTATGCATCCTACTCTGGATGGTTACACTAGATAAAAAATAAGCTTGTTTACACATGTGACCCTTGTATGTAGGTTCCCTAAAATGTAGGTGCCTGCTTCCCAACGCAATGGTGGTCGACATCCCTATTAATCTGCACATCCAAAGAGATAACGTCATAAACGTGAATCTTCTCTTGATTAGGATTGAACATTAGGTTTAAGATAAGATTAAAAACATTTGGGAATTTCCGAGCTAGGCAGTAAATACTCCTATTTAGGGAATATTTTTTTACCCATTGGCTGACCAACCAGAGATGGGGCAAGGGTTGGGGAACATCTTACCTTATTATTGATAAAGTAAAATACATGGTAGGCGGGCATCAGGCCGAGTCTACCCAAAAAGCTTCTATTTAGGAAATGAAGAACATAGCACAACTATTTTGGAATTACCAAACATGTATACTCCTATTTAGGGAGATTTCTTTACATAACCACAATACAAAAAAACTGCTGTCGAATAATTTGAAACAAGACAAGATCTTTATTGCTTACAAAATAACTGATTAAGGTTCAAAATTTAACATGGTCTAAACAACTACTAAACAAGTATTGTGTGTTTAAGTATAAAAATCTACTCTGTATTTATTTATTGAGATAAACAGCTACTTGCAAGCCTGCTGCTGTCCAAACACAGTGAAATTCAATGAACTGCAATTTATGGATAGCCTAAAGCATGAGATTGAAGTTAAATGGTGCAAAATGAAACACACAAACAAGTATCGGAATTAAACCATATGGAGTAAAAATCGAAAAGTTGGGATTCATAAACTAAGCAACCAACAAACATACACACTTAAACATTTCGAAAAACAAAATGAAATAAAAGAATTCATTTAAACTGCTACCTTACCGTTAAATGATAAAGCATCTCCGGTCATTGAAGCCATCTCCATCATCAAGGCAAAGTAAAATTAATGCAAAATTCTTAATGTGCTTACCAACTAGAAAATTGTAAATGAATCCCGAGATCAGGCGGGGTGCACCGGAGCGTCACTCGCCGGCTACTCAGCCTTTATCATTGAAGTCTTCAAAGAAGGAGCGATTCGCATGGAACCCCTTCAGCGCTTCTTCGACAGCAAAAAACCAGCCAATCACAGCAGGGGATTTGGGGAAGAATATAAAATGAGAATTGAGATTAAGACATTAGGTTAGTATACATAGAATGGATTATGGATCTTAGTGTTTTATTATTATATTAATATTAATTGAAAAGGAGAATTGTTTATGGGATGAAGAGAACGTTGAAGGCGGTAGGTGGCGGAACGAGTATAGAATATGTGATTGGCGCTATTTTTGGTGTATTTATCCGAGGGAAAGAGACACAGACTTTGGTCAATAGTTGAAAACTGGGCCAGGTCTATTCACCACATATTTTAATCTTACGTGGGTTACTCATGTTTCTTCGCTCCATTTCTTTGTTTGCTTACAAACCTGACACGTGCATCCTAATTTTATATGGGCTCTTTTTTCTTTATATTTATATACATTCGGAAAGGAATTGTTCCCATCCATCCAACACCACACATGATTTCTTAGGCCTATGAGCGAATATATGGAACCGTTTAAAAATATGAAATTGTATTAGCGGTTTGGTTCTTATAAATTATTTTATAGAATTGATAAGGAACCGAATCATTATTAACGATTCGGTTTTTGTCATTTAACGGTTCCTTGTCTTTAAAAAAATTACAAATCACGGTTAAATTTATGTCAAAAAGACATTTAACGTTTGAACTTACAATACAAATATGTTGAACATTATTTCAAACCTCAAAACGTTAGTTTAAAACATGAATACATAACAAACTTGAAATTTTAGAATATAAAATAGTGAATGTAATACAAAAATAAATAATAACTTTTGGACCTAATGAGGCGTAACTCCTAAGAAGCCCAAGAGAACTCGTTAAGATGAATAACAGTTTTAAATACATACGTAGTGTATATATATATAGGGGTGGGCTGGTCCGGTCCGGTCCAATATTTGGCCAAACCCGTACGCGTACCGTGACTATTCAAACGGTCCGGTTTGGTTCGGTCCTAGACCAAAACCCGTTTGGTACGGTTCCATTTCCAAATGGGATCATATATTGATAACTTCCTACAACATTTTTGCAGTTTTTTATGATTTCTCCGATGTCACAAATCACGAACTTCAAAGTTCAAATCATACGGGCTTATCACCCTTGAAACTACAACATGCAATTATCACTAAAACTCGGGTACCATTACGTAGGCCAGTTGAATGATCTATATTTCCCATTACTACATGCAGGGCCGGCCATAGGGGCAGGTACCCTAGACAAATGTCTAGGGCCTCCAAATTTTAAGGGCCTCTAATTTTTAGAGTAAGCCTATATATTTATGTATATGTTTTCAAGTTTAATTGTAAACAAAAGTTCCGTTGGTTCGTTTGGATACTTCGCTGGTAAGAAGAATCTGCTTCTATTGATGTTACGGGGTCGATTCTCCAATCCATCCTTTTATTTTTTTGTCAAGAAAAAAAACGAAGCTGCAAGGAGTTGACCAGACTTTCCGTCTTCAGAGTTGGAATCCAAATAGGCATCCCAGGCTTGAGGTTTTTCCATGAGTAAATTCATTACTAGTATATTGTTATTTTATTACTCCGTATAATATTTGTTCTTTAGTTTTTTCTTTGTTTGATTTGTACTCCGTAGACCGTAGTTGGCTAGGGGCCTAGGGCAGTAGGGATATACATCGTATATACGAGTATTCTAAGGTATTAATTGTAATTTGTAACTTTGATTTATTGAAATTGTGTACCTATAATCTTTTATATGTCATTAAATTTAGTGAATGAAATTTTATTAATCTTTTAAATTGATTTATTATACTCCATTTGGTATTATTTTGAATGAAATTTTATGCTTTGTGATGATTGGAAAACGAAATTTTATATTTTGAATAAACTTCTCTCAATTACATCAACCCTTGGTCTCAACCTTGCGTATAGGCCGAGATTGACTTAGACAAGACTATAAGCCTCTTCTCACCCTTTCCTTTTCTCACGAAATAGGAGGGGGTGGCGGTGCTTTTGATTTTTGGACACATTGTATATATTAAATTTTGCTTGAATGTTAATATAATTTAGTAATTTACATTTCATCCAAAAAAAAGTACTAGAAAAGGATTTGATCATAAAATCACTTTCCTGTGTTTTATGTAAGCACAAAACCTTCTTCCTCTATCTTTAGCTTTTAAAGAATATATGTTAATAGTATATGATGTACTACCTCCGTCGTCCCACTAATATCAGGATCAGAGGAGATGGACAATTACTAAGAAAATGAGTTAGAAGCACACATATTTAATATTTTATCAAATTTGACATGACAATAATCTTATTAAGACGGATCGGAAAAAAAAAGATGAGACAATCTTGGCGGGACAGAAGAGTATTTCATATCTAATTTACTTCAATTTAATTGATATTTTTTTATCATCATTGTGCTACATAAAACATACTCCGTATCCAAACAAAATTTCTATATGACCGACCGTCTAGGACCCCATAATTGCTCTAGCCGGCCCTGACTACATGTGCCGATGTGCATCACTCGCACACCAAATGATTAGTGGAATGCAAATCACACATTATTGTAATTCAAAACTTAACTGTAATTTCAATTCAAAACGTGTAATAGATAAAATCAATACTCCAAAGCAAAGTGAAGTATTATGCAAGAATTAAAAAGCAAATATAGTTTTAGTTAGAAACGAACAATATTTGGTCTAATTAGAATAACTTATAATTTTCACCGATTTTCAATTTTTTCCAATTTCAATTTTTTGTTAGACGATCCCCGTGTGGAGCCATATAGGCTATTAGGAGTTGAAGTTCCATCTCTTAATTTCCGACATGAAAAAGTCGAATTTGGAGCGTCTATTAATTGAAACTGGTGAGCAGAATAATATTTCATTATTTCATGTGTGTTCATTATGTGAAGGTATGTTACAATATATACACTTCATGTACGCTACACTTCCGTAGAAGATGAGAGTCCTGCTCCTACATATTTGCTCTCTCCGTTGGAGATAAATACAACAAATAAATTAATACATTAAATATTAACTAATAATGAATATGGATAACCATGCACCAATTCAATTCGAGTATATCCCTTTACACAGTGAGTTGCATGCATGCATGCATGTGTACGTAAATAGAATAGCACATGCCAACACCCCCCTCAAGATGGAGCATGGGGATCAAGAATGCCCATCTTAGAAAGAAGGTAATGGAATTGAGACGAGCCCAAGGCTTTAGTAAACAAATCCGCCAATTGTTCAGAAGTAGATGTGTAGGAGGGAATAATCACGCTAGACCGAACATGGTCACGAATGAAATGACAGTCAAGCTCTATGTGCTTAGTACGTTCATGAAACACAGGATTGGAGGCAATATGTATGGCGACCTTATTATCACACATCATCCGCATCGGAGGTAATTTAATCCGTAAGGAAGAGAACAGGCTCTTAAGCCAAAGTAATTCACATGTGAGAGTATCCATGGATCTGTACTCGGCTTCTGCGGATGATTGGGACACAATTGTTTGCTTCTTGGTACGCCAAGAAATAGGAGAACCACCAAGTGTAATAAAAATAGTCTGTAACTGAACGCCGAGTGTTGGGACAACTAGCTCAATCAGAGTCACAATATCCAATAAGAGAAAGTGATGTGTGGCGACCCAATAAAATGCCTTAGCCGGAATGACCCTTGAGATAGCAAAGAACCCGAAGAACAACCTCCCAATGCGCAAGCCGTGGGGCTTGCATAAATTGGGAAAGAATGTGTACATAATAATAGATGTCTCTGGCTGAGTGAGGGTGAGGTAAATAAGTTTACCAACTAAACGTCGATAGCGATCAGGCTCAGAAAAATTTGGGCTATCATCAGATTGTAGTCCATGATTATGAGGCATAGGAAAATTAACCGGCTAGGTGCTTGGCCCCAACTAGTCTTGTCTCAGTAAGAATATCCAAAACATATTTGCGCTGACACAAGAAAATTCCCCGCTCACCCCGTGCAACTTCTAATCCAAGGAAATATTTCATGTGCCCCAAATCTTTGACAGGAAATGTATGAGCTAAATAAGTTTTGAAAATTAAAATCATATCATGATTAGACCCAGTAATGAGTAAATCATCCACATAAACTAGAATACATAATATGTGGCCTCCACGGTGAAGAGTGAATAACGAGTAATCAGCCTGAGACTGTTGAAACCTGTATGTAATAAGAGCATTAGTCAACTTAGAAAACCAACAACGGGGTGCCTGTCCGAGCCCATAAAGAGAATGAAGCAATTTACACACCTGTCCAGGTTTAGTAGGGGAATAACCCGGAGGAGGATGCATATATACCTCTTCGTGGAGATCGCCGTGAAGGAAGGCATTGTCCACATCCATCTGGTGAATTTCCCAATCACGGGAAGCAGTGATGGTGAGCATAGTCCGGACGGTGACCATCTTAGCCACTGGTGCAAATGTCTCGTCATAATTAATTCCCTGAACTTGGCGGTTACCACACACGACCAACCGGGCTTTGTATCGATCAATGCTACCATCACTCTTATATTTAGTTTTGTAAACACATTTACAAAATATGGGTTTCTTACCGGGTGGAAGATCCCGTAGGCGCCATGTCCCTATCCATTCCAAGGCCTCAATTTCGTGCTGCATGGCTGCCCGCCAACATGGATCACGAACTGCCTCACTGAACGTGTTGGATTCCCTGTTGGCTGACACAACTGCAAGCAAAGCACGATGGCGAACCGAAAAACGTGTATAATTTACATAATGAGATAAGGGACAAGGATTAGCTGTGTCAACCATCGGAGGCGAGTGACAAGTAGGCGGAGTATTTATTTTCATAGTATTGAGTTGCACCACATAATCTTTATGCCACACTGGCTTCTGCCTGGATCGGTAGCTACGGCGTGCATGCATTTCGTTACTGGGAGTAGTGGAGGTTGTGCCAGCTGTGTCATCCGGTGGGATGGTATCTGTTGTCACGATCCCATCATTAACAGCTGTACGTGAAGAATTGGAACGGTCCATGTTATCCCCATGCTGGCTGGCAGGAGGTACATGAACGGTGTCAGATGAGGTAAATTCCAGTTCTTCATGGCCATCAAATTGCGTGAAAGAATTGTTGTCCTAAAGCATGGGACTGTGTGCATGACCTGCTACCTCCAGAAGTGCTTGCTGACTCTCACTTGCATAAGGGAAAATTGATTCAATAAAAGTAACATCCCTTGAAACGA